TCAGACCTCTGTCCATCTACCAGCAGTTTTGTGGATCTTCATGTTCTGCTCATGCCAGAAAATACCTAATGACTTCATAGAATCATAGAATGGTTTGGGTTGGAAAGGACCTTGAAGATCATGTAGTTCCAACCCCCTTGCCATGGGCAGGGACACTTCCCACTAGACCAGGTTGCCCAAGGCCACGTCCAGCCTGGCCTTGAATACCTCCAGGGATGGGGCCTCAACAACCTCTCTGGGCAACCTGTTCCAGTGCCTTACCACCCTCAAAGTGAAAAACTTCTTCCTAATGTTTAATCTAAACCTGCCCTCTTCCAGTTTAAAGCCATTCCCCCTCGTCCTGTCACTACATGCCCTGGTAAAAAATCCTTCCCCAGCTCTCCTGGAGGCCCCCTTTAGGTACTGGAAGGCCTCAGTAAGATCTCCCCGGAGCCTTCTCTTCTCCAGGCTGAACAGCCCCAACTCAGCCTCTCCTCACAGGAGAGGTACTCCAGCCCTCGGATCATCCTCGTGGCTCTCTTCTGGACATGCTCCAGCAGGTCCATGTCCTTCTTATGGTGGGGACTCCAGAGCTGGATGCAGTACTCCAGGTGGGGTCTCACGAGAGTGGAGTAGAGGGGCAGAATCACCTCCCTTGACCTGCTGGCCACACTCTTTTGAAGCAGCCCAGGATACTTCTCTGGTTTAAATTAGTGCCCATTTCTGAAGGATTTGAAAATACTGTTCTTTTACAGGAAGACACAGGAGATGACATGACTGCATTTTTCACAGATCTATAAATATTGCAGCCAGGAAGGGTCATTTTAATAACCTACTCTGATGTCTTATATATTCCAGGCCATAGATTTCATCTGACTGCTCCTTCATTTTGGACCAATAATTTCTGACTGAACTAGAACATACTTTTCTCTTTTCTTGAAATGCATTGGCCTTGATTTAAGGTCTCCACAGTAGTAAATATAACTGTTACCGCTGTAAATTCAAACTCAATTATATTTGCCACTATTTCGTAACAGAGGTAATATTCCAGGGGAATATAGATATCGCTTTGTTGCATGTTTTGGTTGCCCTGTATTGCCTCTGGTATATGTTTGTCTGCTAGGTGAAACAACCTATAGTGCCATGTATCTTTCATGTGAGTATTACTGATGGATTAGCTTGGTGAGTGACTAGTCTGTTGCTGATGCTTCTGAATGTCTTTAACTCTGCTGTGCACTATACTCTACTCTGTAACTATACTGTACTCTATAATTTGGCAGGTCTGTTTTACAGGATACAGAGAAGGGAAAAGTTCTCTTGGTATGCGTCTCTAATTCTTTATAGGTTTTGATTATAACCCTGCCAACTAAAAAAATATTGTTGTGTTTACGAAAGCTGGCATTCAATTTAAAATGAAAATATATATCAGCTGCTTCCTGTGCATTCTGTTTAGAAAGCTGGAGTCTAAGTGTGATAAACCTATGGTTTATCAGGCTGCACAAATTGTCCTGGCTGTTCCTTCATCCCTGAAGCTTTCTAAGCAATGAGCAGGGAGAGGGGTGCAGCATGTGGGCATTGTTCTGGCTCTTCCACTTCTGTCACTAAAGAGCGTGTAGTTATGTTGGCTCATCTGGATTTTGGTTATTTGACAGGATCACCGTTAGTCACAGAGCAAAACTATGTCCATGAATACCTGGCATTATGTGATAGAGAATATTGCCCTTGATGTGGTAAGAGGTTACCTGAAAGTAGTACTGCTTATCTATGTGTTATTTATGGGATTTGGGATTTGATAATGTTTGGAAAGAAAAGTGATACAGAAAAGTTCTTAGTGTGGCTCAAGAAACTTAAAGTAATACCCACCTATCTTGCTATGTATTTATTTTAAATAGAACAGCCCCTTTATCTTTGCATTTTCCACAACTGTTATTAGAAAGCAATGTCATGCTCTTATTTATTCTATACTTTTTTCAGCAAAGTGCAATAGCTGTGTCAAAGGCTATCTACTCTTCCAAAAGAAACTATTTATCAAAAAATTATCAGGCCAGGTGAAAAGGGAAATTGTTTTCACTTTACTAGTGCCAAAGGGCTGATCTAGTATAAACAACTCCTCTAAGTCACCTCCATTGCATTATACAGCTACTAAGAAGGCAATGGTCTTGACTGCAAATGAATACTTATGCCATTTCACACTTCTTGCAGCAAAATAAATGTTCTGTGGCTTGCTATATGACTTTACATCCGTATAGAAACCGTATGACAGCACTAAAATTATTTTGATTGGAATTTTATGCATTACTGCCTTTTAAAAAAAAAAAAAAAAAAAACAAACAAAAAAACCAAACAAAACAATGCCTTCAATCTAGCACACGCTCAAACATGGGTTCTGCTCCTGTAATCAGCTTTACTAAGTTTCTGCTAGGGGCCAAGCATCGATATTAGCTTGATTTCAAAATCAGTGATGTGTGACTTAGACTTTTAAGTTATAAGTTGATATTACGTTCAGCGTTGTCCAAACAATGTAATTAATATGTAAGGAAGCCAGAAATAACCTTGAAAGACCCTATGTCTTGTGTACATAAACATGAAAGTATACCTTTCGGTAAAGTTGATATTTCTCAACAAAAAGAAATATTGTAAACCTTAACCGTGTGCGTCTTTTGCTCGCTTCAAGCAAAAGTTTTGTGTGGCCAGGCACTGATTCACATGTGGCGTACTGCAGCATTCAGACCAGCTCAATGTATTGGGCTTCAGTAGGGATATTTTCTCTCAGCTGTCACCTGACTGAAGTATATGGTGGTTGGTTGTTTTTATTTTTTTTTCCTCCCAGGCTGTTGCTCGTGTTACCAGCTGTTTATCTGCTTTTGTTCTTTTTATTCAGCAACATAAAATATATTACTGTTTTTATGACTTGAAAATGTTTTGAAGTACAATTATTTGGACAGCTCCACATATTAGAGAGCTTTGTCCCATTTCATCAAAAGGAAAGTGCAGGTAAAGATCTCCATTCAAACCACCAGTGATTGGAACTGAGTGGCTTACAATGTGCCTAACAAACTGACACTAGTTCTTACAGGACAGGTGAAGGACTTCTTTAAAAAACTAAGAATTTGCTCAGACTTATCTCAGAAACTCTTTTTTTCTTGCTCCCTTGTTTTTATTTCTTTTCCACATGTTTATAGCTTTATGTTTGGAATAACAGACCTCTGTTAATGAGTGTGTAATTAGTGTTTGATATGAGTTCAAATGTAAATAATTTGCAGTAGATGTGGTAGCAAATATTTTTAAAATTGGTCTGTACAGCTTCAAATACAGTAGGATAGCAGATACTGAATTCCTGTTCAGCTAGACTCCTGGTGAGAAAATTTATCTGTGACTTGGTCAACTTATTCAGCATTGCCTCTGGATTTAGATCTAGTCTATTGATTTATTAAAAAAACTGAAACAAAACAGAAAATCCCAACTGCTTCTTTTTTCTTATTCAGTGATACTTAGTCTTAACGATTATCTTTACTTACTGTAGTGAAAGAAATGACCATTTCTGACTATGTATTATCATTGTTGTAACATTTTAAAGAGTAGGATGGTCAGTTTTCCCAGTGGAGTAAGGCCACTAGAGATGTGTGTTAAGGCCTGAACTATAGAATATAATCATAAAGAATACAGAAAATGGGGTAAATTAGTGAAGTTACAGTGTGCTGAAGATACTAAGCTCTTTCAGAAAGATTTTATGTTAATAGATTATTGAATTTCATCTGCTGTTTTATCACTCTGTGTAGATTAATGTGAAGTAATATATATGAATGGAGGAAAAAGGTTCTACTTCTACATTAAATGAATTCCTATATGTAATGAATCTTGAACTATCTATTATCACTCAGAAAAAAAGTCATAGCAGCTAGTTGTGTTTAAAATGTCAGCATAGTACTTGTTGAAAGAGCGAATAAAATGTTAAAATGGGAATAGAGAATGCAGTGGAAATCATTATTTTGCTACTGTACAGATTCATGGTTCACTTGCACCTTTAATACAGTATGCTGATCTGTGTTGCATCTCAGAATGGGTATAGGAGAATAGAAAAGATACATTAAAGGCAGTGAGCAAGGATTTCTCAGGTTGGAAAAAGGACAGCGGAGAGAAGGGAGGGAAACAACACAGATCATTACATTTTAAGTGAGATAAAGTTGAGATGTCTTTTCATATATGTGTTGTAATCATTCCTGCGGGATATTCCAGATGCTGCAAGTTTATGTGACTTTACATGGCCAAACTCCTAAGAGAAACATTAACCCCAAAGCAATACAAAGGCACAGCCTCTGGCTGAGAATGTCCCTGAGCTGCAAGTCATTGGAGGTGGTGTAACGCTGTGGGGAGTATCTGTAGGGATTGAAATTCTTTCCTGGGTATCTACTGTAGGCCACTGCCAGAGACAGGGTACTGGGCTGTGTCAGTATTTTGGTCTGACCCTTTATAGCTGTTTGTGTGCATTTTATTTAGTTTTTGCTTTCCTATGTCTCATCACTGACCAGGAATAAGAGAGGGACAGGCTGGCACTTATATGGATTTAAATTTATAACTTATGCTTTAATTTCTCGTGATCTAGAACAGTTTTCCCCACTGCTGCTGTGGTCTAACTTCAGAAGTAAGATGTAAGGCAATGGCAAAAGAAAGAAGCAAACCAAACCAAAATACTCATAAACAAAAATCCCTTTTGATTGGATCGTATCCATTTTGTGTGAAGGATAATTTAAATTATATGTAGTATTTGATTGCTACTGAACTAGAAAAATTAGAAGTCTTGTGGTTGCCTAGGGGAAGAGAGTAAATCAGTGATACAAAATAATCAAGATTCTAGTTTTTATTGAGCAAAAATAGTGTGACAAGAAATACGAAGAGGGACTTGACTCTTTTCCCCCACCCCCAATTTTCTTTCCATCCAGAAGGAATCTATTGGCATGTTGATGATGTGTTATGTTGTGTTGTCTCTAACTTATTACAGCTCTTTTTCTTTTCTCTCGTAGGTTAACAGAACCTTCTGGATATTTAACAGATGGACCAATAAATTATAAATATAAAACTAAATGTACATGGTTAATTGAAGGATAGTAAGTATTTTCATAGCTTAAATTTTCTGACAGTTTGGTACTGTGTATTCTAAAGATCTAAAAAACTCCTCAAGTAGAAACTGCATTTGGATACAATATAAACAGTTTTTTTTGGTTTTGTTTTGTGTTTGTGTAAATGTTAAAAAAAATTAAAAAAAAAAAGTTGAAGTAGGATTAGTAGGATTTTCAGGATTTCTCAGTTGGCCAAATTCCATTCCCATTCAAATGGCTGGCAAAAGTTAGGCTGATGTTGGAATTTGGCCAGTGTTGCAAGCTCTCAAAACCCTATGATAAATTTGCTGCCTGTTTGAGTACCTTTACGTAAGTTCCAAATGTGGTTACAGAATCCTATTATTTAACTCATTATCTTACTTATTTATCTTATTTAACTCATCAGTGATAAATCAGGAAGGGCTTCAAGTGCACAATGCTTCCAGTCTCATGACAATTATTCAGTTACATGTTGCTCAAAAGTTAGTGCTTCTATAAAGTATTTTCTCTTGCATTCTAGTTTTCCTCGCGTATTTAGTTCTAAAATCATATTGTGCCCAGAGTTTATACCATTTAGATGTCTCATGTCTGTTGCTATTTTTTTTAGTTTACGCAGCACAGAAACACACACACATGCACAAAAAAACAATGAGACATATGCTAACTGTATGGCTAACTGCTAAAGGCACAAATTTATTAATTATCAGTGGGACCTTTATTCTCCAGGCCACAGGTCAGGATTTTGCTGAGGAATTTAGCTAGGTCTGAATTCTACTGAGGTTGTAGAAGAAAATTAACCCCTTTTGTATTTCCATATTATCATAATCTCAGTTATCTTAGATGTCTGCTCTGTCACTGCAGTTCAGTAAAGATCTATCTGATCTAATTTTGGTCTGCTTGTATGCAGATAGTAATTTAAACACAACAGCAATGAAGTTATGGGTAGTTTGCAAAATCTTTTAAGTAGAAGCATCAATATCTAGGTGACTAAGGTTATAGCTGAATGTCTTTCTGACATAGCTAGACTTCTCTTTTTAGCCAAGCTAGCTCAGGAATATTTGCACTGTGGTATGCTATGCTAAAGTGGAAACATGCCTCAGGACTGTATGCAAACTCTGCTTTGAAGTTGATCTTCACTCTATTCCTCCTCTTTGCAGGAGAGGGTAGAGTGGGTAGCTGGAGGAAACAATATGCTCCACAGTATGTGGAAGAGTAATACAACCCAGTAACATAGTGCAAAATGTCAACACAGAAGAAAGCACATATGTATAAAATACTCTCTTAAAAAATGAACAAAGAGCTCTCTTGAAATGATCCCTCACCAAAAAAAAAAAAAAACCACCAACCCAGCCTATGTTTTCCAAACTGAACTGAAGCCTGTCAGTAGAGGGAAGAAAAAATTTAAAATTAAATAAAAAAAATAGTCAGTATGCTTCATGGAATATATTTAGGAGTCTTAACTTCGTCATAGGAGAAAATTCCCCTTTCAGAAGTCTTACAAGTCTTACAGTCCCAATCTGGATCTCTACCAAAAATTGGTGAAATCTGACTGCCAGGTGTCAGCTGGAAGGGGGGGGGGGGGGGAAGCAGGGAGGGAAAAAAAAAAAAAACAACACCTTACACTAATATTACGTGCTATTTTAAATTTGTGTTTTGAGATTTTAATTTTCAATCACTAGTATAATGCCGGAGTGAGGATTTGTAGGTGATTTTGTCTTGAAAGACTCTTTAAACCTCATAGTCCTGACCATGTAAAGTAAAGCTAGTATATTACAATAGGATTTTTTAATTGCTCTAAATTTGTGGTTCTGAATACTGATAAAATCTGATGGACTTCAGTCTGTTGTTAACTTTAGGAATTATTAGACTTGGACTGAGGGTGTTATTTTTAAAGTTTTCTAAGATAAAGTGAAATATTTGCCCTGAATTTTGTTATTTAACTCTTTGAAATGTTTAGTACTCAAAATGTTTTAGTAAAGTTACGCTGGCATGATCAATTTTGCTGTAAGTTCTTTATCTAATGAGTTCAATACTTCTGTAAATAATGTTCTACAACAATTTTCTTTTTTTTTTTTTTTTCAGTCCAAATGCGATACTAAGATTAAGATTTAATCACTTTGCCACAGAATGTAGTTGGGACCATATGTATGTATATGATGGAGATTCAATATATGCACCTTTAATAGCTGTATTTAGGTGAGTGTATTTATTAGCCTTTTAGTCCAAGTCACCATGTATGGACATTTTTAGTTTGCAGGGAAATAAATAACACTAGAGGCTTGAATGTGTTAAATAGCTTGCTTTCTTTTGTTAATATCATGTGAGCATGTATGTAAATTTATATTAGAATAAACTGCAAAACAGTGCTTTCTTGGTTAGGTGATCAGAGCATAGGCGGCTTGTACTTACTGCTGACGTTGCATAGAGTGTTAATGCTCATAGACAAGCAATCAGAAATGTATTTTCCAGTAGGATTCCAATAGTAATTCCTGAGTTTTAATGTGCATTAAATGTGGCACTGGCCACTAACATCCATATCTGATCCTCCATAAGGGATAATTGCAATCTGACACTGAGGCAATGTTGCACTATGTGTAAGTTGTCAAAAATGGCTGCTGAATGCTGTCTACGCTTCTGTATGAAGAATAGACTTGTTCAGAGCCTTTGTTTCAAAGGCTATCTTAAGCACTCATTTTGTAAAATGTTTCCTTAGATTATTAAACTGGACATCATTGTGACTGAGTCATGGTGGGTAAAATTATTAAATTCTTCAAAGTGCTGGAGGACAGCTCAAATTTGCTATCAACTGAAATAATGAAATTTCTTTCTGTTTTATCATTAGCTTATGAATTGTTACACAGCTAAATCTTTTTTCAGGTTAATATTTCTTGTCTAGAAGAATAATATTATTTTGTAGTGAGGTTTAGAAATAAACATATAATCTACAATAATAAACAACGAGCATAGCAACTGATACTGAATAAAGACTAATTATTTGCCTTTCTAATGACAATAAACCATTGAGGTAAAGAATTAGGTTCATGCACTGCATTTCCTGTGTCCAACAGAGAAAAAGCAGGACATATGAATTTTAATGCTTGTTTCCTCCATTCCTGGACTTTACCAAGGTTTTTCAGTTGGTTTATTCCTACCCTTCCGTTAAAATTTTGGGAAACATTCCAGAAAGAATATTCTATGTGAGCGGGCTATAGTTTATTAGAGAGAAGGCACGGGATCCTAATCCTTTGAAGTCAGTAAAAGTCTTTTCTTGCCCATTGAATGCAAAGCTGTATTAAAAAAAAAAAAAAACCAACAGAAACTATTTGTGCATATATGCACACATGCTCTGTGGGGCAGAAATTGTACTTCATTTTGTGTTATGAAATACTGATTGCGTAAATGATAGTGCTTTTTCCTAAAGGAACAAAGCTCAAGTAATCCCTGTTTTCCTGCCCAGCTATACCAATCTACACTTCTCTCCTAATTCTCCTGAATTGTTATAAAATTGCTTCGTGCTTTTCTTTCCTTCCCAAAGCTGTATTTGTAAAATGTGCGTAGCTATTATTCAGGAGCTTGACTTGTAGCGTGAATGGAAGGAAAGAGGAGGTTCCTCTTCCTGTGTTCTTTACTTCAAATGTCTTTCAGTTTATTGATTGTTAGTGTTTTCCTTAGGGTTCCTGTAACTTTAAATTTATATTTGTGATGTGGCACTGTTTTATGCAGGTCATCCGTTTTCTCAGTATTCCTGAGAATATTGCTTGTTTTTCCTACGTCAGTCTTTATTGAAGACTGACATCTTAACATCTTTCTGAAGTTTTTGAAAGTATTTTATTTTCCATTAAAAATTGCCTTTTCATGGAAATTACTTAATTATCTTACTTTTCAAGTTTGACATTCTTTAATAAGATAAACTTCTAAAGGTACAAATGTTATGTGGAAACAGACTTCGTGCTGAAAGGCAGTGAGTGTTCAGCACCTGTCTGAAAGACTTTTTTTTTTTTTTCAAAGATAAAATAAGTTTTAAAAATTATACTGACAGTGCATGCACCCTCAGAATAATCTGATGTGAAATTTTACATTACTGTGTGTGGGAGGACTTTTTTTTTTTCCTGGAAAACCCTACCTTAATTTGCAGAAGCATGAACAAGTTCTATAAGCATTTTTATTATTTGTTTTTTTTAAATAAATTTTTAAATTATATTTATGAGTTGTCTTGGCTGTATAA